TAAAGTGAATCACGTTTCCTCCAAGGGTTGTAACCCTTTCGTACATCCTAATTAGACAAAGTTTGAGAGCCAATTGTGGCAATGCGTTCGTCAATTTTTTTATCGACACAAAAAGGGGAGGTATTTTTTTGAACCTTTGTTGGTTGAGTACGTATAAAATATATTTTTTGTGACAGTAGTGTCAATCTTAATCAGGATTTATATAATCACATCTCACGTAAAGATGATAATATGTGTATATTATTTAATAAATTAATTATAATTGACATAAAGATGGCAATATATTTATATTAATATTTGCAAAAAAATGTAATTAAAATCCTTCTATTTTTTATTGATACCGTGTTTATGTAAATTAACAATAAAATCTTTGCTAACAAAATCTATCGTCCAAAATATAATATATCCTCCTAAAGTTAACAAAATATTTGCTAACAAAATAGTTGCTAATAAAATCATTGCTCACATCCAAGCAAGATCCACGGGATCAATAAATATTTGCTAACAAAATTATCCACAAGACTGTTATAGAAACAATATTTCCAAAATATTTGCTAACAAAATTATCCACAAAATTGGTATACAAACGATATTTCCAATTTTGTCCGAAAAATTTTAAGCGGGAAAACTTCATCCATTTTTGGCAAAATGGATTCGTCCATTATATAGATATAGATATAGATAAGAGTGTTTTTTTTTTTTTTTTTTGAAGGGTTTATTTAATGGTTAATTTGTCTAATTTAGATTTAATTTTTGTCAATTATAGTTTTTTGAAGTGACAATTAACTTTGATCCTCTCCATCCCCATTGAGAAATTGTATTGAATATTGTAATTTTTTTATATGATTTTTTTTTTATTTGCTTTGTTTATGTATTAAAAATTTAAATAAAAATAAATAACACATGTATTGTGTTCTAATACACATGGTGCCACATAAGAGCCACGTAGGCGGATTGCTCCATAACAAAAACAATCGTATGGTTCCCTAGAAAAACCGTATAAAGTTTAAGAAGTTGAGTTTTTAGGGTTTAAGACTTCAAATGTGCGAGCTTCTTGAGAAAATATAACTGAATTTGATCGATAATTAAATCAGATCGATAACTTTATGTCAACAATTGAACAAGCGTGACAAATCACAAAATTGGAAAACTATACTTAAATTGCAATATTTGGGGTAAAAATTGTTAGTTATTTTTGCAAACTATTTAAATTATTATTATTTTCGTTCATGAATTGATATCTATAGATCCATATACAATTGGCATCAGCAATTAATGGTTATGATATCCTAAATTATAGTCACCACAATAATTCGAGTGAAAAAGCATTTCTTAGTGTTGTATATTTCATTAATTATTTATATTTTGGGACAGAATATATTAAATACAGCACTAAGAAATAGTGAAATTCTAGTCGCCACAATAAATGTCTAAATCATTATTTATTTTATTTTTTATTTTTTTTGGCCAAAACGATAGACATTATTTATTTTTCATTAATATTAATATTAATTCATTAGTTGCTACATTAAATTCTTATCAATGACCAGCGCATTATATCTATATATATATATATATATATATTTATTGCTGATATGTAGCATTTAATAAAACCTATTTAATAAAACCTTTAAAATCTATATATATATATAATTGTTGGCATGTAGCATTTAATAAAACATATTTAATAAAACCTATAAAACTTTCCCCCATTTTTGGTTACAAAATTTATCATTAATATTTTTTACTTCTCACATTAATACACCTTATTG